ATAATTCTTTAGTATATTACTTGTGTGGTGTAGAAGAGAATAGAAGTGAATCATTTATTGCTTGCAAACCAATGATGGTAAGATGATGTCATGGGGTAGGACTGGATAAGTCTGACTTCTTCCTACTCCATTCAAGCATGTACTAGGTATAAGCAAATTGATAATGGATTAGCATTTGTTGGATATGTGTAAAATTATGTGTGTTGTCATATCAACTGTTTTTACATGCTTGAAAGAATAAATCAAATCAAATCAAATCAAATCAAATCAAAAAGCTTCCGTGCCTGCGCTGTGCATTCCCGCTCACCTGCATGTAGCTGTTTGTCACAGTGCAGTTTGGTAACTCAAACTGTTGTGGAGCCTTCTTAGAAACCCTTTCATAAGTCCAGTGCACATAGGAATGTTGACTCAGACTCTCTGGATTATTGCATCATCTGCCTTCCTGGAAAGGCTTAAAAAAAGTTAACCTCAAGGTGTTTGAAGTCTTGCACTGTACAAAGAAGCTCACATGACACTCGGTGTGTCACTGTGGTACAGAGTTTCCGTGCCTTTACCTCAGACGTGGGGCAAAACGTTTTCACACCTTTCCCTTTGTTTCATGCAGTTGTTTTCAATTAAAAATCTCCTGTGTTTACTACCTGTCCAGCACCAAATGACACAGGAGCCACTAGCTGGGGAATACAATCTCAAATCACAAAATGATATCTGATGTTACTGAGGACTTCCTCTGTCTAGGTACCCTCGCATCAACAAAGAGTCCCTCCTTCCTGTGGCCACAAGCTTGATGATGACCGGGCAAAACGCAGAAGGCTGGTACCCTCCAGGCCACGGTGACATCTACGCCAGCTTCTACAACTCAGGCTTGCTGGACCAGCTGATTGCTCAGGGCAAGGAGTACATCTTTGTGTCCAATATCGACAACCTGGGAGCCACTGTAGACCTCCACATCCTGCACCACCTGGTCAGCCAGCCCAACGGCAAGCGCTGCGAGTTCATCATGGAGGTGACTGACAAGACACGTGCTGACGTTAAGGTATGTGTGTTACATAATAATTGCACAGTGTATTTACATAAGGTGTGTTGTCCTGTCACTTCATACATTGTTACGTCTTTGTTCTTACTGTATTGCTAAAACTAACATCTTATCCGGTTAACAAAGTTACTGAGAATTTAACGAAAGTGGTCTTTTGTGTGGAATAAATGAGAGATTAATCCCAGTATAACATTGATCACTTATTTTTTCTCACTCTCTTATACTGTAAGTATTTAACTATGCAGCCCATTTTTTAGAGTTCGGATTCTGAAAAAAGTAACATTTCTTAGGAAGGACAGGACGTCTGTGTGAAGTTTCAAAGTTAGTCACTCAAAGACTGTGTTGTAAAAAAACGCCGACTGGTCTTCAGGGTGGCACACTGATCCAGTATGAAGGAAAACTGCGTCTGCTGGAGATTGCCCAGGTGCCCAAGCCCAATGTGGATGAATTCAAATCGGTTTCCAAGTTCAAGATCTTCAACACAAACAACCTGTGGATCTCTCTGGCTGCCATCAAGAGACTGCAGGAACAGAAGGCAATGGACATGGAGATCATAGTCAACCCCAAGGTGAGTGAAGAGGGGAATACACTTTAGTCTAGGCTGACTAACACAGACGGTACGCGCTCACACAAGAAGAATTTACTGAGTCGTTTGTGTCACATACAGATAATTATTCAGTTGTTAAAGAATTAAAGCACCAAAGGATGTAATTTGAAAATATCTGTTGACAGTGAAAGTCAAAAACAAAAGGGTAAAAACGGCAAAACAAGGAAAATAAGTAAATAAAATAAAAACGAACCAGGCCACAGTAGTGCTACACTAAACCCTGGCCTGATAGAGCCTTACAGCTAGGAGCAGTTATGGTGGCGTTTTAAAAACATCAGGAAATTCATGGTTCATGGTTATGGTCTCGTGATTTAACTAAGGATGCTCAGATGAAACAAATCACTCACTAACCAACCTCCCATAACAATAGCATCCATGTTATTTTACAGTTTCCATCCTGTCAGATTAGAAACAGCAGCATGTGCAGCAGAGCAGAGATAAATCTGCTGCACCCCCTTCCTCTGCAGAGACCACCACTTCCTCTGCTCTGTGTTTCTGCCATCCTGCACAACTTTCTGATAATGATACTGTAGGTTACAGATCTGTCTTCTGCATTTGGAAAAGTGAAAATGCAGCATAGATGAATTGGCCAAGTATGTTACACACACAAGGAGTTTGTCTCTGGTACAGAATCGAGGCAGCCATCTGTGGGACCAACTAACACATACAACGATGGCAGCGCTGTCCCTGCAAGGTGCTGTCCTTGCAAGGCACTGACCTGGCTGTCAACTTGGGGTTCAGTGTCTTGCCCAAGGATACTTAGACATGTGGACTGGGGAGAACAGGAATCAAACCGCTGACCTTCCGGTGAAGGGACGACCGCTCTACCTCCTGAGTGACAGCTGCTTGTTGTTGTGAGTTTATTGCATACAGAGCACAGGAAATTCAGTTTTCTGGTCACCTCTCTGGTCATTCATCTGTCCTACTTTGACTCCAGTTTAGGCTCCCTGTGTGTCTGTGTTTATAGTGTGTATACAAATGGAGTGGCATAAGACAAACAGGTTCCCTCAAACATTTTCCTTCCAAATTACAGCTGCTTCTCATTCTGCTGTTCTCATTAGACACTTGATGGCGGGCAGAATGTCATCCAGCTGGAAACAGCAGTTGGTGCAGCCATCAAATGTTTTGACAACGCCCTGGGAATAAACGTGCCTCGTAGCCGCTTCCTACCCGTCAAGACCACATCCGACCTGCTGCTGGTCATGTCCAACCTGTACAGCCTGGAGGCCGGCTGTCTCACCATGAGCCCCAAGAGAGAGTTCCCAACAACTCCACACGTCAAACTGGGAAGCTCCTTCACCAAGGTAATGATGAACACAGTGAAAATGTAAAAACATGCTGGTGACTGAGCAAGCTCTCTTATTGTATCTATAGTCTGTTATCATTTTGGATTATATGGGAAATTCTGTGATTTAAGGTGCCACATGTTCCAAAACTGTCACTGCCTGAAATGTAAAACCAAAAGCAACCATTAAACCGTCCTAAAGTTCAGTGGCTTCAATTTTTTTAGGACCGAACAGATCCTGGTTCCAAAATGACTCGCACTTACAGAAGGTTGTATCTGTGTCCAGGTTCAGGAGTACCTGACCCGCTTTGAGAGTATCCCCGACATGCTGGAGCTCGACCACCTGACAGTGTCCGGAGACGTCACCTTTGGAAAAAATGTTTCAGTCAAGGTAAGCCTCTGCACCCAAATTAGTTTCTGCTGAAAATATGATGAGAGAAATGAAACCCTCTAATGAATCCTGATCAAATCTCAACATCACTGAACCTTTATGTGAAATAAAATTGAGCTGAACAGGTCTGAAGGACATAAAATGCACTTGACCCACAGAATTTGTTTTTATTAGCTCTAAATGTGCAGATGAGATTAAGTTGAGCCTGGTATCGCAGAAAGACACCACTGCATTATTTGCTCTAGTACACTGATACAGTGTGGAGCTTGAAAAAGCCACAGACCACAGCTGATGTCAGACGTTCAGGTGTTAGAGCAGCTGTGGGTGAAAAGTTTCAATCTTAAATTTCACTGACCTTTAAGACTAATCGGGGTTCAACTCTCAGGTTGTGACATAACGTAACAAGGATTTAACAGAAGTGTTCATTGCTGAAGCGACGGGCCCTGGTGGATGTGGTTGTCCTTTAATTATTGCTTTCCTTAAGTCCTAGTTTGAAAATATGACCCTGCCCCAGCTGACGTGTACTGTCAGTTTTCAAATGTTTGTGCTCGAGTACTTCCCCTCTATGCCACTCTGTCCTTCACTACATTTATTGGACAGTTTCAGTTACTTTACAGATTGTAAAAAAAACAAAACAAATCCATTGTTAAAGAGCAAACCAGTGGTTCCAGCATTTCTGGTTTGTGTCTCTTACAAAGAAGCAGTTTCAGGCATCTCAGTGAACTCATTAAACTGTTTTATTGTCTTCTTTCTTCTCCCATTAATCATCTCACACCCCTTCAGATTTATCCTGTGACCCTTTGGAGGGGCCCGACCCCTATATTGGACTAGCACTGGACTAAAGTAGCCAACTGAACATAAAGTAGTTATTAATTGTTAATTCCACATATAATATCAGTAATAGTGGCTGCAGAACGAGTACTTTTACTTAAGTTGAATTTTGAATGCAGGACTTTTACTTGTAATGGAGTAGGTTTACAGTCAGAATAAAGATCTGAGTACTACTTCTACAATTGCTCTTCCCCCTTACAGGGCACCGTCATCATCATCGCCAACCACGGAGATCGCATCGATATCCCAGCCGGCTCCATGCTGGAAAACAAAATAGTATCTGGTAACCTCCGGATCCTGGACCACTGAAGCCTTTGTTGCCCTCCTCTCCCCTCCTGCCCTTATCATGTGACCCATTTGGCTTTATCCCAGTTATGTGACCTGTTTGTCATGTTTAGCTGACACCAACAGACTGTGAGAAGGGCTTTTCCCAGCAGGCTGTGTGTGATTGTGTGTGCAGTGCAGGCTCTGCGTTCTCACCATTAGGAAGCCGTGGACATGGCTTACAGTGAGTTGGACACACCGCCCTCTACAGACTTACTAAAATATAAACCTTAAATAGTTTTAGTCACAGCTTCATATTCTACAACAGGCCAGTCTGATTATATTTTTATTCTTTTATCTCTTTCTTGGCCAGAAAAATAGAGAAAGAATCAAATAGATACTATGGGACTCTACAAATCTGATTTGATCATCTTCATCCTCACTGTGCACTTACAGCACTGCTAATGCAATCACATAGTGTAATGTACTTGAATAGAAAGTCATGGTTTCTGCAGTTATGGGGGAGGTTTAACCATTTATTTCAAGCACAATGGGACTCAACATGGTTTCACAGTTCAGCTATGACCAGATTTGTTTAACTGAAAGAAATAATCGTTATATTTCAGTAATTGTAGCTGTTATCTGGACTTGGAGCTGGAGCCACTCTGTCACTCATAGGACTACAACACACAACCTCCCACACTTACAAGTAACTAAAAACTAGTACAGTATTCACTCGCCATTTTTACCTCAATATCTTGCTCTTTAGCTGTAAGAGGTTTATGAGAAAAAAAACTTTATGCTTTGCTCAAGTGGAAATGTTGGTGTATAGATGAAAGCAACAAGGTGACATGGAAACAGACTGGGAGGAGATTGTGAGTACACGACCTCCAAGAGAGTAAACTAGTAGCATATATAGACATCAGATCTGTGGGGAGGATGAGGAGACTGTTTGGTTCCTCAAACAAACATCAGGTTTGACTGGTGTCGTTTTTATTATGTCGTCTCATTGCAACCTGCTCTTCTGCAGTGGTTTAATGGTGCCCAGCTGGAGAATTAGTGCCGACAGTGGATGAAAATGTTGATTAATTGGCCAGAATTGGTGCCTGGCAGGTACTGTAGCCTTCAGTGGACTGCTGCCTCTAAAGGTTAGGCTGAGGAGAGCGGTGCGAGTGAAGCAAATCAGTAACGTTTAAATAAAGACACTAGTCCACTGTTAAGGTTGCTCCAGTTAATAGGTTTAAATTAAGATAAAACCTCAAAATGATGAACCAGGACAGCAGAAACAAAGCCTGAAGTGGTGTTTGTGCTAGAAAATAAAATGGTACTGAGCTTCCAGATGTAGAGACTAGTGTGTAGATTAGACCTCCAGTGTCCAGACTAACCTGGTCTGGGCTGAAAAGCATGTTGGAATTGGTGCCATAGAGGAGAACTGTCCCTTGTTACCATGTGATGCCTGAACAAGCTGGACTGCTGTGATCCATGTCCAAGTACAGGAACAATCATTGCAGTCAAAATACAGTATACTGTATGTATAATTTGAAAGTGAAGGCTTTTATTTCCCTGTATCACATTATGGATTAGTTTTGTGGTTGTCCACATTCAGATCATCATGTCGTGTGAAACCTCATGTGTCTGTTAAGGTGTCACATGTCTCCTATTTCCATCCCGTCATTCAGCACACATTCTTCACACAAAGTAACAGGGGTGCAATATTTTCTGTAGTGTCACACACACATTTGTCCTTCTGTAGTCGTGAGGACACTCATGATAAATGTAATTCAACCCTTAACCCCAAAACCAAGTCTTAACTCTTAGCATATTGAAGTTGTTGCAGAAATGTCCTCACAGCAGTGAAGAACTAAAATTTGTGCACACCGCCATGTAAAAACATACACACACGCATTTAACACGTGTACAAGGTTTGGAAGAATACTTGAGATGTATCTGACTTGTGCAGATGAGGAACCTGAAAGCAATAAGTGTTGATCTGTGACAGTGACGAGGTCTCAGCCTCCTCAGAGCTGAATAAAGTGCAATATGAAATACTGAACGTGTCACTTCTCATGTCTGCACACCCACTGTTACTTCATTCATCCTCACTAACCTTATGTCAAGGGTGTCACGCTGGACATCTCCAAGAACTTGAATATTGTACAGGACTACAATATAAGAAAGATGAAACGACTCCAATACAAAACCACCAGAAAGAGACCTAACACATCTACAAAGAAATGCAAAGGATGCAAAAGGTGACAAACAAGATGCAAAGTGAACAACAAGAGACAAGGGAAGTAAAACATACTATACAGATGCAAAACCACAAGACATGCATCCTCAAAGAAAGCAATTTCAAATGACACGACACAATGCTGAGTCACTGTAACTTCGCTAAAACAATGTTGTCATTTTCACCGCCCCCACCGGACCAGTGAGGACATGTTTAGCCACAGGTCTTTATTCAGCCTCTGGTTGTTTAGGTGGTGTCCAGAAAACAATGTGGGGTTCATAAACTATTTGAAAACATTTTGGGGAAAACTTAGTCTAATTAGCAGAGGGGGCATCCACCCCACTTTAGATGGTGTGCTCTCATAGCTAGAAATCTGGACAAGTTTATTTTACAACTTAAATGATCACAACCCAGAGACCAAGGTCACACTCTTACACGCCTTTCTGCGCCCCCCAAAATCCCAGCGCCCACAGACTGTGTCTGACCCCCGAACCACCTAAATTATACAGCTCGCAGCTCCACTCCTTAAAGCAGGCATCATGAAAACTGGACAGGAGGTGGCGCTCCACTAAGTCAGAAGAGTGTTTCCTGGGCTGAAAAGATAGTTTAATAACATATTAAAAAGCGCTTCATAGTGCCAGAACTGCATATATGCACAATGAGGGGCAAATGCTGAGGCCTATCATAAAACTTCACTGAACTTTTTTTTTTTTTTGAGGAAAAACTGTTAGACTAAATATTGTTTATAGTATTTTTTATATGCAAATATATTAAAATGGTTCTGGAGTGGAACTTGTGAATGAGCCAATCCTTAGAAAACCTACTGCAAAAAGCAACCAATCGGTGCGACCACTACTCTGCCTAAACTAAAGCATTTGTTAGTTAATTTGTATAAAACAATAATCGGCTTATTGTCAAAAATACAGAAATATGATCATGAGGAAATAGGCCCATCAACACAACTGGTTCTGTGTTGCTTTGTGGCCATTTTGGGTCTCTGATGGTCTCATCTTAATGTAATTATTTCATGTTTTTGTCTTTTAACTGAGCTCAGTGACTTTCAGACAAAAAGTACACAGTCACTTCAAACACAGGATCTGGCTCAGGGGCCCCAACTCTCGGGCTGTGGGTCTGTGCCTGACGCGCCCCGCTAATCTAGCCATGATTATAAGCTTCACAAATACAGTAGTGTTCATAGTGCACCATTTGTGTTAAAGCACTTGTCACTATTGTACAATATCCACCTCTGTGTTTACTATTTCTAAGCTGCAAAGCAAATTGTGTTCACTTTTGTACCAATATCACACTGGACATTCAGATCAAAACCTGGGACACAGCAAAAATTGTCACTTTTACACTTTATTGTTGAAAGTTGTTACAAAAAAGTGTTTGCTGAAAACATTCTTTGCCTTTAGAAGCACAAGTGGACTTCAGACAGCAGAAGAAGAGCGAGTAGAGAGCTGTGAAGGGACTGACAGACGTGTGGTGTAAAAACAGGTTTGAGACAACAGCAGAGAGACAGAGGAAGCCCTTACTCATATACTTTAGCCATAGAGAGAGACACGGAGACCCAGAGCCTGTGAAACAAAACCAACACAAGACTGTGAAAGAGGGGAAGACACAAAACTTCAGAATGGATGTTTTACTTATGAGGTATTCTCAGAAGGCCTTAGCAGTGTGTGTGTGTGTGTGTGTGTGTGTGTGTGTGTGAGAGAGAGAAACAGGTCACTGTTTATCTCCCATGGGTGAGTTAGTGTGCTGCAGCCCAAGTGCTGGGGGATACTGATGAAAATGATCTGTGTGCAGAGAAGGACTAGGGCGTGGACAGATGAATGTTCACAAACTGAAAAACTGCACACATACAATCAACATGAACCATGGGCAGATCATGAGACAATGGGCCCCCTGGGCAAAGATATGAGAGGGGCCCCTACCTCTCCTACACTTCTAGGAGCAAGACAGGCTGAGCAAGCACGTCATTGGTAGTTAGTTTGTCTTGTGGTTGGTTGTTCTGCATGGATGTAGTTGTTTTGTCTCTGTTTTGATGTTTTGCATGTTTTTGCAGTTCCTTTACTGTCTTTTAGATAATTTCTCTCTTTTTAGTCATTTTGTGACTCTTTAATGGTTCTGTGTCTCTTTGCAGCTGTTTTGCATCAACCTTTTCCTGTTTTGTGCCTTTTAGTACTCACTGTCATTAGATTGAGTTTCCAGCAGAAACCTTCACTATTCTCGGGTCTAGGAGCCTCCTGACCTCCTGACCCCTTGGGCCCTTGTACCTGTACCCGGTGGGCCCATGTAGTAATCAATCCATATCACAAACACATAAATTACAGTCTTTCTCACTCACGGTGGGCCCATGTAGTAATCAATCCATTTCACAAACACATAAATTACAATCTTTCTCACTCACACACACAGGTACTACTGACACCTGCAGGAGCTCTGTGTGTTGTAGACAGTTTGGAAGTGATCGTAAAGCTGCTTCACCCGTGGAAGGTTTCTACAGTGTGTGTCTCTCTGGAGCTGCATGAGCGACGTGGACGAACCACAGTGATGTTGACGCATGTGTTGTGAGTGCACAGCGGGGTTGGGAAGGATTTGTGTTTTTATTTAAAGTGCAGACTTTCAGGACCGTCTCCTCAGTCTGTGCTGTGTGGTAGAGCTGCTGAGAAGGGTCATACTCTATATTTTTTGTTAATAAGCAAAGCTCTATACATCCTGCCTGACTGAAGTAGTTCCTGACTTTAGAAATTGTAAATGACATGGATTTAGTAGCTGTTGTTAGGCTTTCAGTCATATCCCATGATCTTCCTCAGTAGATGGAGGTTTCTCTGCTTGTCATGAGATGTACAGTAGATGGATTGGGTTGCACCAGCTGTCACTAAGGTCTTAGCAGCTATTAGCTAGCTTCAAACTAGCTTACTAAGAATGTAATCATTCAATTTGCACTGCTAATTCCTTAGCTTGTAAAGCAAACAGGAAGTCACTACAGCTTCACAGGTTGTAATATAATTTCCAAAAATAGCAGTTCAGGGGCCCGAACAAGATTTTAAACCTACTGTCAACACAGTAGTTTATTCAGAGCTAGCAGCATTGATGTGGTTTAGAGCTGTTGACTGTCTATATAATGAGTCTATTTCAAGTTGTCTTAAAAACCAATACTGAATTTCTAAAATTAGTCTTTAAATTGAAATATTTTTAAACATTTGTTTCCATCTTACGTTAATTTTAACAGGTCAAGTCTAGTATTTATTGTGCATTCAAACATTGTTGTATGACTGAAATAGTTCAACCATTGCATCACTATGAAATTCATAATACTGATGTAAGTACACAGTCTATTAGCTGCTTTTTGTAAATCAAGTTTAATAAAAACTTGATATTCTTCATAATATGTGGGAGAACTGTGATTAATGCTGGTAAAATCAGTTTTCATTCAAATCAGATGCACTCACATGGCCTAGGGGTTAAAGTATATGAACTGGACATCACTGTGGTTCTCCACCTCTCTCCTTTCTAATTCCATTTGAATATTTAAACCTTGCTGTTTTCAGCAACCCTGATATTTTGGACTCACAATGTGGAGCTCATTACATCTAAAATGCTCCTTGGGGATGGTACTGTATTGATATGATGCACACATACTGTACGAGCACACACATACAGCCATAATGAGAATTTTGCAGGTTGGATTAAAGAACTGAAACCATGCATGTGAATCAAACCTGAGTCAAACAGCTACAGTTGTGTTTTGTTGTGTGATGTATCAGATGGATGGGGCTTCCTGCATTGTGACAATTCAGATTTCAGTTTCTACGCAACACTGGCAAGAGTCAGTCCGTCGTAGTTAAAACAATAGGGATGTTGTTGTAGGATGGCAGAACAATTGAGGATCAATAACTATTTCTCAGCTTAATGCTAAGATTAACACTGGTCTGAACACTGAGCTGTGTCTGTCAAGATAGAAATGATTATTGTTGCTGTAACGTTGCAGGTAAACACTGTCAGCGCTGGTCTGCTGCAGCAGCTTCTGTGATTTTAAAAACACCAGTATTAAACTTTGGTAATAAAAAGTATTTGACCAGGTCTGGTTATGGAGTGTGTGAGTGAGTGTCTGTGTGTGACATTAGCTACACAGCCACAGTATCATGGCAAAACTGGAAAATAAACACTCACCCACAGAAATGTTTCACTCTGACTTTAAAAGGAGCAATCAGTCAGGCTGCGCCTAGAAGACTCACTTTTCCATAATGCTTTAGGACATCGCCATTCCAAATTTATTGCTTTGAAGCTGAAAAGGCCAAACTGATGGCTAATGACAGAGGGGTTACCACACAAAGTGAGAGGCGTATAAATACACAGATACACAGACCATGGGGAAACAAATCCTTCAGAACACATGTAGAACTTTTTATCGGAATAACAATATACTGTATTTTCAAATTAAAATGCTAAATAGGCCTGAAGTTAGTCATACAGTATCTGACAAAGGATGAAGCGATGGTTCCTGGATCATAAATACCTTTTGTTTAAATTAGATCTAAGAGATGTACACAGGCGTTGCAACAATAACCATTAATGTCTGCACTAGGGTATGTTAGATAAATTTAGATAAATACTGTTTTTCAAAGTTCTTTTTGAGAAACAAACACAAAACCTTTATCCAGCAATGTTCTCTGTTTGGTTTTTGTGTCTCTGGTTTCACATGAAAATATAGAAATCTATGTTGTCATTTATGAAAAAGCAATACAAAGGTCACTTAAAAATGAGGAGGAGACAAAAGTCCAGAAAAAGTTATCATAACTGCAGAGGAAGGAAAAACAGCTGTGGGCAGCTCCTGGTTTTCAGTGCAGGGTCGGTATCCAAACAAAAAAAACTCCCCACTCTGTCTCACCCAGAGGATGCTGAGAAGTGGCCCCTGCTAGTCGAGGGGCCCCTGAAAAATGAGTCTGACATAGCCCTGTTCGCCACTCAGCTGTTGGGCACAGAAGGGGCAGGCGGCGTGGAAGGTGTGTGTGCCATGGGGCAGCGGGATCTGACTCCAGAACGCCGCCGTCTTCTCTGAACTAACATGACCACAGGGGTTAAAAGCATGAGTGGGCGGGGCGGCGGCCACATAAAACCCCAGCCCAGCCACAGCGGCACGTAGGGCCCTTTAGCTCGGCACATGGGACACTCCCTGTGCCGGCCCTCGCGGCCCTCCCTCTCTTCGTGATGGTTGCCCCAGTTGTGGTAGCCGTGCACGTGGCCGCACTGGAGGTAGACCCATGGCTGCTTCTCATCTGGCGTGTCCTTGCGACGCATGGAGGGGAAGGCCAGCGTGTTGAAGCCCACGGGACATTGTGGGCGTGCTGCATTGATCTCCTGCCGCAGTGCCTCCAGGTGTTTAAGGGTGGGAGTGTGTGACAGACCTTCAGCAGTGCGCCACAGCAGGGTCGCACCGCAAAGGTCAATGAGAGAACCATCGACGAGCTCCTGAGTCTCAGTCTCCACCTACAGCAGAAAGAGACACAGAGGGGTTACTGAAATGGGCTGCTACAACATCAGTGTATAAACTGTAGTGTCACCAGGCACGGAGCCACCCTGGAAGACTTATTTTAATGTTTTTAGATTCAAAAGAATGTGCTTTCCTCTAATCCCGATTTCCAGTAAGGGGGCTGTCAATCCATAAAAAAGTCTGCAAAAGATGTTCTAGTGTATCCTTGCTCAAGGCTCGTCCAGGCAGCCTCCTTGCTCTTGATTCCTGCTCCACAGCTTTGGGACATCCCTCAACAATTTCTGAGTCAAGCAAGGATTGAGGCAAGAGGAACAATAAAATAAGTGAACTGGGATTCACCGAGTGGGTGGATACACAACAAGCAGTGAGGCTTGTAGTACTCATGTGAGCACAGCAGGTGGCAGTGTCACACGTCCATTACCACCTCAACCTAAGTCAGCTGTGTGTTTCGGTGAGGAGGGAAGGACACATACAGCTGGAATAAAGATGACATGAGGAAACTGAAAGATAAGTGCAGGACAAACTAATCTGGACAATTCAGTAAACTACCGTCTCGAGGAAGCACTCGGTCTGGCTCGGGTCAGATGAGACACAGTGGGAAATTCCACTTTTAGATGACCGGGGGACAAAACCAGAAGACGAAGGGAGGAAATCAGAAAAGAATAACAGAGAAATGGGAAAAATCTAAACAACAAACTATTTTTAAAAAGTCATACACAGATGAGAGGAGGGCCCACGCCCCGGGTTTTGGTGAGATCACGCAAGTCTAGCGCTGGTGTTGAGTCACTGCCACTAATGGGAGACGTGTCTCTCCTGGGGACGGATTTCAACCTTCACTAATCCCGGGAAGGTCAGCTGAGCGCATGTGCCCTTTGTATCACACCGATACATTATTCACATCTGGCCAGTAAAACCACTGTCATTCTGCTTTTGGTCGTCAACTTGCTCAACTGCCAGGTCACAAGGCTGCTCCTGTCTTCATTAATCCACCGCCACGTTCCAAAAACAAAAGAGTTGACAACACCAGAAGCTGCCTGAGGCTCTGGGTCGACTCAATCCATGTAAACATCCACACACTCTCACACATCAGTGCACAGTTATAATTTAATTACATTGAAGTGGATCATTTATCAGCACAAAAGCTGGTATTAAGCACAGCAGGAGCTCAGACACTGTGCTCTGCTTTTTTATTATACTTCATAATGGCCCCCAAAGCAGACACACTAAAAACCCTGTGTAAGATATTCCTCATTATGCTGGCTTCAGCCTTGTGTCACACTGCAGAAGGGCAACCTGCTGCCCTGCTGGCAAAGCAGAGTGAGTCTGTCCAAACACTGAAACAAACCTGCGCACAGTTCATCTTTCCCTCACAATAACATTCACATATCTTTACAGCTTTATATTAAAACAACACATCCTCTTAAACAGAAGGTTTTTTTAGCCTAAGTCATTTCTCTCAGTAAGCATGTTTTTCCAGCGCTGGTTATTTGGCCAGGGACCTGTTATCATGTACCTACGTATTTCCGCACATGCAAAATAGCTTCAAGAGCTTTTTGGCAAACTTGCTGAGATGATGCTTTTCCTCCCATTCAATCAAAGGTCCTTCAGACTTTAACCTTTGCTAGTGCTGGGCAGTTGTTCCATCCCAGGACACCTCGTTGCATTCAGCCTGACAAATAAACCCCATCACGCTCAATCATTGTATATGATGAAAATACTGTAGGTGCTTTCCCATGACTGTCAATATCAATCAGCTGTGGACTAATGAGTGCCTTCTGTAGTGCTGGGTAATGCACACATGGTAACTCTGTGGATGTTGAAGGGCAGCCACAGATAAGAGCGCTGTTAATTTATGCTGCCTTGAAACGACTTGGAAACAGCTGGGACTGCAGATAAATGGACATGCTGACTGTGTGCTTGTGGCTGATGATGGCCATGGGAGGAAAGATCCCATCCACCCATCCATCCATTATCTATGCTACTTATCCTAACGAGGGTTGTGGGGGGGGGGACCCTGTATGGGTCACCAGTCTAGAGTCACCAGTCAACCTAACCTGCACGCCTTTGGACTGTGGCAAGAAACCAGAGTACCCGGAGAGAACCCACGCAGGCACAGGGAGAACATGCAAACTCCACAAAGAAAGGCACCGGGTCAGCGCTAATCACCGTGCCATCATGCTGCTGGGAGGAAAGATGAAGAGCAGAAAACACAAAGACCTAATTCAACACACCACCTAAATCCAATCAGCCAAATGCCACAGGTGGCCATGCTGACGAGACAGCAGGAGTCCTGTGATAGGCCAAGAAGAGTCTAGTGTCAGCTGGAGGATCCCCTGACAAGGTCCTGTTACACACAGCTTTGACAGCCGGACCTGTTGCCATGGAGATAGCATCCCAATAACCTCCTGCTGGTGCTACGCTCCGAATGACCTACTGCTGCCTGAATGACTGTGTTGGTACGTGAGGATGAGGATGAAGGAATGGGACAGAAAGAAATGCGGAAAAAAGAAAGAAGCTTTTTTTAATAAAGGAAAAACATGTTTTGCAATAATTGGAAAAATCAGGTCACTGAATCAGCAGACTATAATGACAAACCCCCGCTTCTATCAGTGGTGTTTACTGACGTCCTCAGGTCGCAAAACAAGGCTGATTTCATGTGTCACTGCCCTCCTGAGTGAGTGACATAAAAAAAAAAAGGCACATTGGAAAAACTATGCCACAAGCATGAGCGACAGTGATCGTTGCAGCTTAGGTAGGGACCCAAGCATGGTTGCTTCCACTCAAAACAATCACTGTGTCAGCTCTTCATTTAAACAGGAATTCTCCATCCTTCCTCCATGAGAGATTTGTGCCAGCTGGGCCAGGTGTTATCATTTGCTATCCACTCACCCCGGCCAGTCCAGGCCGATGGCCACCCACCAAGAGGGAGTTTTTCCTTCCCACTGTCGCCAAGTGCTTGCTCAAGGGGGATTTGTCAAGTTTTTCTCAACAGTTATTATAATAATAATAATAATAAAGTCTAGACTTTACCATGCAAACTCCCCTGTGATGAATTTTGCTGTGATTTAGTACTATACAAATAAAACTGAATTGACCTGAATTCAAATAACTGACCATGTTTGGAGCCTTATAGTAACAGCCAGCTTGCTTTGTTAATTTTAAAGCAGCTATAGTCAATATTTTAGAATGACAATGTGCAAACAATGTGAAAGAGGTCTCTTGTAGTCACAAACCCACAGAGCTTTATAATGAGCTTTACTGTTTACCTTTCACTATTCACATGGCGTTATTTTCAGACATAGCAGGCAGCTGTTTTTCAGCAAAAAGCAGCTAAGCAGGCACTGGCAGGGACATAAACAGAGCTAAGAGAGACTGAATACTGGACTTAAATTCATCAACTGGTCACAGAAACAACTCCACATGGCAGTGTTGTTTCTTTAAATGCTGGATGGGTAAATGAGGAACAGTTTGGTAAGGAGTTTGGTTCACTGCTTGTTTCATAGGCTCCCAACTGTACAAAATATCTCTCCAGTTGCAGGTTTCCTGGTGAGAGCTGCCCGCATGCCAAAACACCCCACCTCATTTTGTCTTTATTGTGATTAGTGAGGACATCATCATAAGCATGGTCTTCTAAAAAAGCCACACCCCGACCGTGAAAGACAAAACGTTTCAGTAGTCTCTGTTCATGTTCAGAGACTGTGCCGTAATGTTCTGTGTCATCTCTCACCATCTTTCCTCGCTGCTGCGCTGAGCGGGTCTCTCGCAGGGTGAAGACATTGCCGCAGACTGAGATCTCCCTCCAGACGCCCGGTTTGGAGTCTTGCGTGAAGCCGTTTCGAGGGTGCATCACCAGCACGCCGTTGGTGGTGAGACCGTCCATTTGGCCGTCAGATGTCTTCCATTTAGCAGCTTTCTCCTGAGGAAAGACATGGGGAGCCATGAGCAGGTGGGGACAATTCAAACATCCATTTTGAAGCCCTACATGAAACATCTGTAACACCTGCAGTATATCATCTGTATATTGCTATTTATACTGGGAATTGTTGACACTGAAAACTGATGACAAAATGTCTGTGTAGCATGCATCAGCTTGAAGAAACACAAAGTAAATTCTCAAGAGTCAGCTCCTTTTAGTTACTGCAAGCTCAGTGTTGTAACCACAGACAATTTGACATTAGCTGTTGTCCTTCTCTTGTTATGGCATTCAAGAATGATGTTTGCTTCTGACAGTAAATGAAATAGATAACAAAGCAAAAGCAATCCTGGTTGGGCAAAAAACAGAGGGCTTTATCTTTCATACAATCAGAACACAAGCTGCCTCTTATTTCATCTTATTTTCAGTTACATGTGATTGTGGTTCTCTGGTGTTTTCTCCATCTTTCTGCTGTTGACTTTCTCACACTCGCCTACATGCGTCTAAAGCACCAGATGAAACACAGCTCACCCCTAGAAAGATGTTCTTGGAGGAATCGAAGCCTGCAGCATAAATGCGTGCAGTATAAGGCGGCGTGCGCTGGCACATGATGCGGCAGGCGAAGCGAGAGATGGTGCTCTGAACCGTCTGGGTGTCGGCGTTACTCTGGCTGCCTGCCACCGTGTCCGTCACTACAAAGTCTATGGGGCTCTCTGTTGATCGACCGATCTGGTGGAGAGAGGTGAAGATGCGCTCTAACAAGCTTCAGACAAGATATCAAGATTAAATCGTGAATGCATTCCAGCTATGAGATAATATAATAAACAATTCTCTGTGGGGAAAGACAACACAAACATAGAATCAAATGGATTTGTTTCTTTATGTTGTCAGTGCATTTAATGTGCTCACTGGCGTCAGGATGAAAAGAGAAATTCAAGATGTGTAACAAAAATGCTTCTAAAAAGAATCACCAACCCTACCTTTAATTGCCATGAGCTACTGTATGTGTCACAGTCTCTGCTGTAGCTCCAACTGTAGTTTTTAAACTTGTCCATTTCACCCCCTAACTTTCCCTCATCCCCCCCGCACAGCTTGAAAACCTCTGCTCTAAAATATTCATTAGCCCCCCTGGATTACCAACCACCATTTTGCCATACAGGCAGTAAAGCAGTGAAACTGTAGAATGGTTGTAAATCTCCCGGTTATAAAAGCTGTGGCCTGTTACCTGGAACATGTCTGTATTGCTGTCATGAGTGTACTCCACCACCACCGTCTGTGCTCGAGACAGAGTGTAAGAGATGCTATGCTGGTCTTTGTTGCTTATGGCCTGTTGAGACAAAAGGAAGAAGGAAGGACATAAGAACAGAGAACAAATTAGGACCTTTAGATGCTCTAAAACTCAACCCTTTGACTTACTGTAATGTGTACACAAGGATGAACCTGAACATGCTTTATAACAAAAACACTGCTGACATTTTTCTCAATGAGCCTTACAGACATCAACAGAAGAAGAAGAGAACGGTAGGGTGGGTGAAGAGTTCAGTTATGTAGTCACTAGCTGGACCTAACGCAGCCTCAGCATCTCTACAGTCAGTCAGGGCCACCCACAGAGAAGGATGATCACTCTGAGAGATTCTATAGATTACTGCAGCTAAAAGCCTGACCCACTGTACGTGTGTGTGTGTGTGTGTGTGTGTGTGTGTGTGAGAGAGAGAGAGAGAGAATGAGACAGAGCACAAAACTGCATGTCCACAGAGAACTGATTACATACAGATGTTACACCAAAAAAGCAAAGGTTCTCTCTTTCTCTCACAAACACATACCACTTACAATCCCCTGGTCACAGGTTTGGTGGATTTCTGGGCAGCCGGGAAAGTGATGATGGAAACATGCTAACATGTGCTTCCCAGGACTTTGCAATAAAATGCTGAGTTATCTTCCACTGTCCTCATTTGTTTCCCTTACAAACCACACAGGTGTTGTTCAAATACCTCTTAAAGTCTTGACAGTTTTTCTGCTAACACAAGGAAGGAACGCTGAACCCTTTCCCTTTTCTCTTTTGCTCATGGTGTGTGTGTGTGTGTGTGTGTGTGTGTGTGGTACTCTAATATGACAGAACAAGCTAACAGATTTTTACAAAAGACCTGGTACAGCAACACAGGCCAGATCTGCTGAACTGGATGTGTTTTCTTTTAGGTTGTCAGACAAACAAAATCACACACCTACAAAGACGATTTATTTCAAGAGTAGAAGAAAAAGTTGTTTTAACTAGTAGATATGTATTTCCTTTACTATTCAGGATGTTTGTAATATGTTTAACGAACACAAAAGCTATAAAAGTCACTTGAAACCTTATCACTATGTAAACATTCAGCTTGAGGAGAAGAAAAGGACCAAAATTGCTGATGTATACAGTTCCAGTGACTGCAGTTTTGTGACCCTGGCATGACTACATGTATTGTGTGTCTGTCTCTGTGTGTGTGTTTCACCTTGGCTGCCTGTGGGGAGCAGGCGACATGAACTGTGCTGGGCTTCACCCCGTTTGCCTTTGGTCTCTTACAAAGTGCAAACCGGCTTTTACGTCGGCCTCGGTCCCCGTTGGGCAGAGAGCCATTGTACCTGCACATACACACACACAGTCATACACAAAACAATAGGGCACTATTGTCTGAGCAGCTGTATAATACACAGGCAGAACAGTGGAAAATGCTTGAGGGAGTTTGGTGCATTCTCTCCATGCCCCTACACACTACATGCAAACACACACAAATAGCAGCCTATACTTTTCATACGTTTTACGAAAAGCACATCGTGTCCCTACAAACAACAAAGCCCTCCAAACATAAACCCAGAAAGGCTGAGAAAATAAGCACACGGAGAGACTCATTTAGCCTGATACGTGGCTGGGGAATGGAGAATAAACAGAGGCGTTCCCTCCGGCAGAATGGAGTCTCTGTTACTCCCAACAAAACCGGGACTGTTGTGAGTGTGTGTGCATGCGTGTATTTTGCTTGTCTTCCGTTTTATTAACAGTGTGTTTGTGTGCTTCTGAGAAGTGACTTAAAATGCCCCGCCTGCAGTAAATCCATTACAGTTCTTAGATACAGCAGCATTCATAAAAATCAAGATATCTCATTCAGTATACCAGAAGATACTCAGTCACAAAGGTAATATTAGTAGATGGGTGCATGAGGGATGGTTAAAGAAAGCTTCCTCTGCTTGTAGCTGGTTTCCAATAATGAATGTACTGAACATCAGTTGAATATGCAGAGGTTCAAAAATGTTATTCTTTTATTGTACACTGGTTTTAGATAAGCCATCACCACTTTAATAGACAACTTTATAAGCACGACCACAGACAGAAACACTGCTCACTAGTTATTGTTATGACATCCAGAAAGCACAAACATTATGGACTCCGCTGTATTAAAAACTCAAATCAGACATTAAATTAGTATCTTTTTGCTTTGCTCATTTTCAGCTCATGTTTATCATTATTAATTAGCATTTTTAAAGCCACTTTTTGTGACCTTTAAAGTATAAGGTCTTTTTAAAAGTGCCTAGATACCAGAAATATATAAAATTAAGGCTAAGTCTCTAAAAACAACAATAATAACAGACCAACATTTCTTAACCTCTCCTAAACCTCAGAACATGTATGAATACCCAAAACACTCCAAAGCAAACTTAAGGTTTCACTACAGTGGTGCAGCACAACTAGTCATGCTGTACAGGACCTCAGCACAGCTGGAATGTGCCTCTAACTAATCAGACTCTTGAAATGAGCCCAACCACAGTACTGAGTCCAGTAAAGAGGGCACAAGCACAGTGTGAGGATGCCTAGCCTACTGCTAAGTGTTTCTGTGAGTGAGCAGATCTGCTGGGATCAAACAACGCTGGGAGGGTTTATAAGTAACCATGGTGAAAGAACAGATCCACAGCAACGTTTGGGAAGAGTAACCATGGCACGAGTGTAACCATGGTGAGGTTTGGCCCACATTCGTAAAGAGGGCGGGGCAGTCTGCTGGAGAAAGCTCAAAGTGCTCCTGCAAGTTCAAACCCAGGTTCCCATGGGTCGCAGCAGTGTGTGCATGCACTTACATGCATCCAGATGTTCTCAAAACAATAGTAGAAAGGCCATGGGTTAGCAGTGAATTAGTGTCTGTGCATGTGTGTGTGTGCACAGTGAGGAAAGAAGGACCAGCGTTAGGAAAAAGTCTGTGCATGTGCAGATACACAGTATTCTTTACTTCCCACAGTTAGCAACAAGCGTGTCTCTTTGTGAGTGTGTTCCCTCCAAATGCTAGGAAAGTGAAGCTCGGTGTGCAGCAACAAGCTACAAGTTAGAAAGTAAACCCATAACAACAGGTTGTGTAGGTTGTGAGTCACTCTCTAAGTTAACGTTTCAAGGCTCCCAAATACATCCATCCATTTTCCTCTGCTTATCCGGGACCGGGTCGCGGGGGCAGCAGTCTAAGCAAAGGTGCCCAGACTTCCCTCTCTCCAGACACTTCCTCCAGCTCCTCTGGGGGAATGCTGAGGCATTCCCAGGCCAGCTGAGAGACATAGTCCCTCCAGCGTGTCCTGGGTCTTCCCCGGGGCCTCCTCTCGG